GATAAAGAAATACATGTATAGAGAAATAATAGTTTCAATGTTATAGGAATTATATACCAGTAACAATTCTTAGACCTAGAAACAGGAAGAGAGACTCGTAAAAGAGAGAAAGAGGGGGGAGGGGGGGGAGGGAGAGGGGGAGAGGAAGAGGGAGAGAGAGAGGGAGAGGGAGAGAGGAGAGAGAGAGAGAGAGAGAGAGAGAGAGAGAGAGAGAGAGAGAGAGAGAGAGGAGAGGGAGAGGAGAGGAGAGAGAGAGAGAGAGAGAGAGAGAGGGAGAGGGAGAGGAGAGGGAAGAAGGAGAGGAGAGCAGAGAGAGAGAAGAGAGAGAGAGAGAGGAGAGAGAAGAAGGAGAGGAGAGAGGAGAGAGAAGAAGGAGAGGAGAGAGAGAGAGAAGAAGGAGAGGAGAGAGAGAGAGAAGAAGGAGAGGAGAGAGAGAGAGAGAGAGAGAGAGAGAGAGAGAGAGAGAGAGAGAGAGAGAGAGAGAGAGAGAGAGAGAGAGAGAGAGAGAGAGAGAGAGAGAGAGAGAGAAGAATAAAGGAGAGCAGAGCAGGAGAGAGAAGAAAGGAAAGGAGAGCAGAAGAGAGAAGAAAGGAGAGGAGAGCAGAAGAGAGAAGAAAGGAGAGGAGAAGAGAAGAGAGAGAAGAAAGGAGAGGAGAAGAGAAGAGAGAGAAGAAAGGAGAGGAGAAGAGAAGAGAGAGAAGAAAGGAGAAGAGAAGAGAGAAGAAAGGAGAGGAGAGCAGAAGAGAGAAGAAAGGAGAGGAGAAGAGAAGAGAGAGAAAGGAGAGAAGAGAAGAGAGAGAAGGAGAGAAGAAAGAAGAGAGAGAAGAAAGGAGAGGATAGGAGAAGAAAGGACAGGATAGGATAGGAGAGAAGAGAAGAGAAGAGAAGAGAAGAGAAGAGAAGAGAAGAGAAGAGAAGAGAGAGAGAAGAGAAGAGAAGAGAAGAGAAGAGAAGAGAAGAGAAGAGAAGAGAAGAGAAGAGAAGAGAAGAGAAGAGAAGAGAAGAGAAGAGAAGAGAGGAGAGGAGAGGAGAGGAGAGGAGAGGAGAGGAGAGAAGAGAAGAGAAGAGAAAAGGGGAAAGGGGAAAGAGGAGACAGGAGAGGAGAGAAAGGAGAGAAGAGAGGAGAGAGGCGAGTGTGTGATTGAACATTTGGCTGAATATGTATACAAGTCAGGATATGTTCTTGTGTCCATGTGTTTTCTAGCGTGTGCGGTGTTCTCACAAATATTTAAATGTGATACTTTAAGGGGACTGTCAGTCTTATTTTTCTATTATATACAAATAAAAGATCCTTCCACAGTAATATTCTAAGGCTCAATTTGGAAAAATACTTAAGTTAATTGGAGTCCCTCCTAATTGAAAAATTGTGCAAGTGTTTTTATTGCAATTGATAGTCTTAACCAATTCCAAAGGGCATGGCATATATGAACATAGCATGCCCACTGGGAGTTTACCTTATTGATTGTTTTTACACATGGATAGTGAAATCAGGTAAGGTCACAAGGTCTATTAATTGACTTCTTTGTGGCTAAGCACCTGCAGAGCCATCAATGTGCACAAAAAAAATTTGAATGAGCACAGCATTTTTCCAGCATCATTGAGTTAATATTTATTAATATTTGGAAACGTTAATATCTATTAATATTTGGAAACCCTCTTGGTACTATATCCCTATACTGCCGGTGCCATAAATTTACGTCACTCATTCCAGTGAATTCTGCCAATATCTAGCCTTTCTGCTGGGGGTTCATTGTAATGTAATGCAGTCAATCTCACTGAACTCACTGAAGTCAGTAATGATGCCCATAGCCATACCTGTCATGAGTTGTTTTTTTCATGACAGTAATAGGTATGCCTGGCCATAAGAGGATATAAACACTTCTGGCCAAGTGGTTGACCAAATTTCTGCAATGACTTATCTGTCCAGGATCTCAAAATAATGGCTTTTTATGCTCTTCTTTGTTATTTCTCAGTTACATGTGGTAATCAACCATAGTCATTATAGATAGAAAGTCAGACTTCAGGTTTTCATAAAATCTATAAGGCCAAGGACCATGAGCAAGGAAAATGTGGTCATAAAAAACAATTTCCCTAAAGGCCAGAGTGACAGAAATGATTTATCATGAGTGCACAAAGCCCTTGGAGGATGGAGCATTAGACTCTTTAGGCCTTTGGCTTGGGGCTCTTGCATTATCTACACTGGTAAGTTAGGGTGGAATGTAAAATCACCAACAAAACTCTCAACCAGATAAATAAATAATACACAATAAACCATAAGAAAATAGAGTAGTTTTTCATCACATAGGTCTATATACCCCAAACACACATCTGGTAGTGTGTACTCTTGTGTGCTTTAGAACAGATACTTTACCAAATAGATTCTATGTGACTTTTTTACCTTATCAAAATTATATGAAATGTGTCAATAAATCCCAACACTAAACCCAATCGAGGCAGATGGCAAGAGTATAATGCCATGCCTAATGTAAAAAAAGTTCATCTACTGTTTTTACATAGATAGCTCTACAAGTGTTAAGTCACCAAGGAGTCAGTTATTAGTCTTACCTATCACACCTGTTTACCCCTTTCCTTGATTTTTTGAAAGCTTTATTTCTATTATTTTATTGTCTTTAATTTTAATCCAATAAAGCCAGGTCATGCCAAGTGGCATCATAACAAAGCACTTGGTCTGTGGAGTACAGCTATATGCCACTACAGCATGCCAGAGAGCTTTGAGTAATATGTTCAGCATAATGCAGTGAACTACCACACTCTAAGTCGGCTTGGTGCCATTAATCTCCAGAGTGTAGACTTTTTATTTATTTTCTGCACCTAGTGGTGTTGGGTCAATAACAATTTAATAATCATAATATCAATAAGAATAATAAAAATATCAATATTAATAGTATTAAAAAGAAAAACACATTTTCCCACAAATTCAAGGAATGGAGAAATCAGGCATAGTCAATAAGGCCTAATGACAGACTCCTTGGTGGCTGAGCAGATGTGGAGCCATCTGTATGTAACAAAATTCACAAAAACACTACAGGGGACAACACACAAACCTGTATTCACTGGGTTAAGAAAGGTCCATTATCAAACTACTTAAAATATTTGTCAAAGTCCAACACTCCTGGGGGAAAAGGTCTGTAATGTTGCATTACTCTGCAGCTTAAGTAGGAATAACAGATCTTAAAGCTGGTAACTAACCTTCCTGCCATCTTATAATCAAGAAAAAGAGACTAACTTTCTCCTCTCAATGACATTCTATTCATAAAAGTGATCGGTTCACCATAAAGACCTCTGTGAGCTATGCCAGAAGGAGCAGCTCCAGGGAGAACATTATTTCCGTGCTCATGATCCTATTCCTGCTGGCTGTGACCAGGTATGCTTTAGAAACTTTAATTATAGAAAAATATATTTAAAATAACTTGATGTCACTTATTGTAATTGTTATTGCATAGAGTTGTAGACAAAATACAGAAATAATGTAAAGTCTGCCCAACAAGGTTATTACCATCTTGATACAAGGATAGAAAATAACAAACACAGACCTTGGAAAATGGCAAAACAGCAAAAAATGCTGATAAAAAATGTGATAAAATTGCAAAGAGGCGGCAAGGAGTTTCGATACCACGCAAATGTTTACATGGGTCAGGCCTACAAGCCACACAACCAAGTAAGCCTAATGCTTAGATTTTGGTCAATGTGCTGATAGGCAATTGGATCGAATGGGCTTAGCACAAATTTACTGCTAATCAATCAAACTTGCCAAATTATACTTTGACGTAGTTAAATCCACCAACAGCCCTCTTAAAGTCTCTTGTTTGTGTCTGTGTTAGTTGAACTGACCAAACCTACCCAAATTCTGAACCAAAAATCAAGAAACTTACGTAGTGCCAGGATGAACTATATATTTCTTCTTTTCAATTCTAGTTTTCGTTGCGAACAAGTCATGTCTTTCAGTCTTCTTCCAGAGGTAGTAAAACTGGACCAACTCCCCAACAGATCTCGTTCGCACCTAGAGAAGAAAATAAATATTTGTTTATGTAACTTCTTTCATAGTGAATCAATGCCTTTTCTTCAGTCAGAGTAATTAAATAATAAACATGTAATCATACATACATATGCATATGTACTTCTTTGCCTCTAAGTTACTGCTTTTTCAGTCATATACATTACAAAATGTAGAAAATTAACTCAAGTTGAAGTAACTTAAAGGTCCTATCAATTAGAGTTCACCAAGTTATCATATGGAGTAACTTACTGTAGTTTATGCATTTTAATGGGAACATATTAAGTCTATACACATATAACAAATTTATATTTGAGTACTAGGTGGAAAAAAGTATCAAGGAGCCATAGAAGTCTAGGATATATTATTAGTGTTGTCAGACTGCAAAGGTTTGAAACCACTGCTATAAACCAACAAAATGTTAAGTTACATAAACACCCAGTATCATCAAACAATCCTGTTGACTGATCAGCTCATCCCAAAAGATTATCATGAATACGGTTATCTTATAAAAACAGGTAGGAAAAAATAATACAAGGATGCATGACACAAGAACTGTGAATGCTGAGGGAAGGAATCATTACCATAGATCACTACTATAAATCTACCACTCAATATAAAAACATGAAAATATAGTAATGACCACAGGAATGAGGAAAAAAAAAAAAAAAAAAAAAAAAAAAAAAAAAAAAATGCAATATTACTATTAATGCTAACACCAAGACATAAAACACCATATCATACCTTATTTTGCTGTATTAGGTGGAAATCTTTACCATATGTTTTAAGGCCATTTTCGAAATTTCTACACTCCTCTTCAGACCAAAGAGTCATTGTAGAGGCAAGTGGAGTGGGGTTCATTCTGTGCCTCCGTAAGGCTTCTTCTACATTATACCCGCACTGTAGTAACAAATACAAAGCCTGGAAAGCAAAAGAAAATAAAGAATGGTAAGATTAAGACTGACCTGAGCCAAGACCCAAAACGAGACAATTCAACTCAGTTTCTAAATACACCGGATTTAATTATGATAAACTAACAAACAGAAAAGACAAAAATATGACAGATATCAAAAAGAACAACCAACCTGCTCATCATCCCGAACGTGTTTCCCAAGAGGAATGGCAGCAACGCCCTGAGACCCAGGAGGGGGGTGGCTTAACGCACGCAGGTATTCTTCCACCTGAGAGCACACAAGACGAGATTCGTCATCTAGGAACTGCTCAGTAAGATGAAAATAACATGGATAGAAATTTATTTATATATCACACAAAAAGTGCTATGCGTGTCTGTGTATGTTTATGCATGTGTGTGTGTGCATGTGCAACACCATAACAAATTTCAAATATTCCATGATAGATCCACACTTTTTCTTCTTCTTTAATTCTAAAGGGCAACACAAACTGCCTCTTAATTAATCTAAAATTCACAACCGGCACTCTACCCTTTTCCATATCTCCTTTTATTATCTGTTACAAGTATAGGATTCTTTACACTATACAGATAGTCCCCTACTTAAGAACATTCCATACATACAAACAAAATTTTTTAAGTACTAAAGTCCAAAAAATTGTTTGAAAGATGCTAGCAAACTTTAAATTTCTCGGGCACGAATATAGTTCAAGAGTCTGGTACTGTATAAGGTATGTTGTACTTATTGGGATTTATTTACAGGTATTCTTAATGTAAACAAAACTTTAAAACAATGGGGAAAAAGGTAATGGAGACCCGACTTTCGACATACAAACAGCCTCTCGGTCCCCATTATGTTCTTAAGTTGGGTACTTACTGTATATCTAGTCTTGTGAACTCATTTACATCAGATATTTGGACATAAACAAATACAGACTTTCACACTTCCAGCAAAAGAAACGAATAATCCAGGACTGACTTCCTACATCTTTTTTCATTCTTTCCTTCTGTTCAATACATAAATCATTATCTTTAGTTCAGTCCTTCATTCAATGACAACAGGATATCTCATCACATTATAGTAGACCACCCTTCATACCATGATGACATCTTTACATCACATGCAGTTGAGTCTGCTCTAAGTTGCGCATGCTAAACTTTGTGTGCTCACTTGACCCTTGCTTTATTTGTTGGGGAAAAACAGCTCCTTAAAAGCTACCTAAAAATTTGTTTATACAGCAGCCAAGAATATTGATAGAGGGGTTGTTTCATGTTTCCTGAGCTTCTAATTTTTCCCACAAGAAGCTGAATCAACATATGCCCGGCCATGATGTTCAGTATGGCATTGGGAACTTTTGTCATCATTGGGTTCGGCAGAACTCAGATAATCCTTTTCTTACAGGTGGTTCCAGCCAATTTTTTACTATAATGTGTAACCATACAGCATTTACTTTTATTTTTTATGTTGACTTATCTGTTTTTTCCTTGCTAAATGAACCTTAAGATCATACATCCACAACACACTATTCAAACAAATGAGGGTAAAAGGAGAGAGAGAGAGGTTGGGTGGTACGCAGGCATGAGGGACAAGGAAAGAAGTGAAAATAAAAGAATAATAACAAGGGAAATGTAACAAAGGCAAGAATTACAATGATGGTAATACTAGGGATGATACTAAAAAGGAACAGGAACACCAGCCTCCATCACATAATGTCTCTTCAACAATTCAAGAATTCAACAATTCATTTACACACAGAGGGCTCTACAAGTGCTTAGTCACCAAGGAGTCGGTTATTAGTCCTACCCATCTCACCTGTTTACCCTTTTCCTCAACTTTTGGAAAGGGTCTTTGCATTATTTCATTGTCATAAATTTTATCAAGATTCTAATGACAATTTAATAATCATAACATCAATAACAACAATAACAGTATTGATGTCAACTGTATGAAAAAGAAAAATACATTTTCCCACCAATTCAAGGAATGAGGAAAACAGGATCAGTCACTAGGGCTACTGATACTCTCCTTGCTAGCTGAGCACCTGTAGGGTTATCAGTATGTAACAACATTCACAAAGAACTACAGGGAAAACACACAAATTTATTGTTTTCACATTAGGTTTAGTTCTTTTCCTTCTTAGTATTGTTGTTATTTTAATATTCACTTCTAGAGTGCTTGCCACATATAGCTTCACGTGTAATTTGGTAAAGCTTTTGGCAAACTTCTGTAAATGCACTATCACATGTTATTCCTGAAATAAAAGTTAAAAAAAGGGGTGAGGGGGGAGGGGGAGAGGGAGAGGGAGAGGGAGAGGGAGAGAGAGAGAGAGAGGGAGAGAGAGAGAGAGAGGGAGAGAGGGAGAGAGAGAGAGAGAGAGAGAGAGAGAGAGAGAGAGAGAGAGAGAGAGAGAGAGGGAGAGAGAGAGGGAGATTGAGGGAGAGAGAGAGGGAGATTGAGGGAGAGAGAGAGGGAGATTGAGGGAGAGAGAGAGGGAGATTGAGGGAGAGAGAGAGGGAGATTGAGGGAGAGAGAGAGGGAGATTGAGGGAGAGAGAGAGGGAGATTGAGGGAGAGAGAGAGGGAGATTGAGGGAGAGAGAGAGGGAGATTGAGGGAGAGAGAGAGGGAGATTGAGGGAGAGAGAGAGGGAGATTGAGGGAGAGAGAGAGGGAGATTGAGGGAGAGAGAGAGGGAGATTGAGGGAGAGAGAGAGGGAGATTGAGGGAGAGAGAGAGGGAGATTGAGGGAGAGAGAGAGGGAGATTGAGGGAGAGAGAGAGGGAGATTGAGGGAGAGAGAGAGGGAGATTGAGGGAGAGAGAGAGGGAGATTGAGGGAGAGAGAGAGGGAGATTGAGGGAGAGAGAGAGGGAGATTGAGGGAGAGAGAGAGGGAGATTGAGGGAGAGAGAGAGGGAGATTGAGGGAGAGAGAGAGGGAGATTGAGGGAGAGAGAGAGGGAGATGAGGAGAGAGAGAGGAGATGAGGAGAGAGAGAGGGAGATGAGAGAGAGAGAGAGAGAGAGATGAGAGGAGAACCAAACACCCGCAACAAAGAGGCAGTTAACAGGCAGATTGAGAGAGATTGAGAGAGAGAGATTGAGAGAGATAGATTGAGGGAGAGAGGAGAGATGAGGAGAGAGGAGAGGGAGGAGGAGGGAGGAGAGAGAGAGAGAGAGAGAGAGAGAGAGAGAGAGAGAGAGAGAGAGAGAGAGAGAGAGAGAGAGAGAGAGAGAGACAGAGAGAGAGAGAGAAACCAAACACCCGCAACAAAGAGGCAGTTAACAGGCAGAAAAACAATAACAATAATAATAATAATAATAATAATAATAATAATAATGATAATAATAACAATAATAAAAATAATAATAATAATAACAACAGTAAGAGTAAGAATAAGTGTATGATGGGAAACAAAAAGAAAAGAAAAAAACGACTCCTTAAATCATTGGGTTTTGGAAATCAAATGCATGACCATATTCATTTGCACATGAGTGAGAGTATAATTTTTTTTGGTGTTGCATGTCTGTGTGTGTGTGTGTGTGTGTAAATAATATTTCATATTACTGTACATACCAACTCACTCAAAAAACACACATTCTATATCAAATAGAATATCACAGACAAGGGATTGGGGAATAACTTTTTTCACTTATCTTTGGACTGTTTCCCTTTATCACCTGTTATAATATTCTTCATGACAGAGTTACGGTATTATAAATTAAAGTGAAAGCTTCCCAATTCTCAAAATGCTATGACTAGGTTATCATTCATCCTTTTCTTGTATTTAAATACGTCAATACTGGCTTTAATTTAATTTAATTATTGGCACATTACCTATATTTCAAAATGTAAATACTTTTTCCTTTCATTAAAACCCTATTGGTATATAACAATTCTGAAAGGCATATGCATACCATTCACTCTCTCAATTTCTCATTCTTTTGCCATTTTCTTTCAGTACTCCTGACTCTCAACAAAACAATGTGTCCTACAAAAAATCTAAAAAAGTTAATGAACAAATAAATCTATCAATAGACTGATGAATTAAAAATGACACAGAAGCTTTGTCTACACAGTTTTCTTCATCCCTTTTGATCAAAAACACTCACCAATTGCTCCCCGTCATGTACCTGTTTAGGACTCAATTTGCCAGGCTCCCATAGTAGTTTATCTTCATTCTCATAAGGTGGTGTCGCACCATATGCTTGGAGGCCCTCCGGTACTTGTGCCTGGTACGACGCACCAATCATGATTGTTTTGTGCCAATCTTCCTCTTCCCCAGAGTACTCGCCTTCCTCTTCCTCCTCATCCTCACTCTGCTGTCTTGACCCAACAGTCGAGAGTATCCCAACAGGTTTGTGGCCTAGAAGGAAGGAGGGGGGGGGGGTTAAAAATGCAATAATGTTCTTTATTTGGAAAAATAAGAGTGAAATCAATTCTTAGGCATTTTAATCCACACTGCGACAGCATCACTCACATCTTAGCGATCGTGATGAGGATGTCGTGGGTGTGTCACCATTGGTGTCCATGTCGGCATAAAGCTGTGCTAGTTCCGAAGTTTTCTCTCTCCTTTTTCTTTCAGGCTTTACTTCTGGTTTAACCTCCTGTAATTGTCATTTAGGTTTAGAAAAATATGTTCAACGTCTGAAACTGTCCAAAACACTTTACTGTTACGAGATCTAAATAGAACACTTATAAATATCTATAATCTTATAGGTAGATATATATCAATGCATGTGCCAACAGCTAATATGTATACACATGAATAAAATATGTTTCACAAATCAATAAATGAATCAGCTTACGCCACATACCTTATCATGATTATTTACATTTTCCTCTGAGGTGGAGGACCGCGAAGATATAACTTCGGGTTCCTCCTGCTCTTCCACTTCATTTTCTGCTTCGACGACATTCTCGATTTCTACTTCATTGCTGTTCTCGTTCTCGTTCTCTGCCTGAATGGCCTCTCCCTCACCATTCGCCTGTTCTTCAGTCTCCGCCTCAACCTCCTCCCCCTCCTCTGGTGGATATCCCCCATACATGGCTAGCAACTGCTCTATGGGCATGTCCTGTTC